GTACATATATGGATAATTAATCTATCTTTTTCTTTCTTTCTTCGATATGATTCAAAGACAATTTTATGAGGAGGTTTTCTTTAAAAAAAAAAAAAAACAGATTGCACATAATCAGACACACGTCTCTGATGGGAATAAATTAGGGTTAGCCTTGGTCTGCAATTTTTAGACAATTGTTTTCCCCCGTCCAAATTAAGGTGATTCAAACAACAAACGATATTATCGAAATAAAATTAGAAACGTTATAAAAGTCTTAATAGCATTTTCATTTATAAAGACTCAAGGACATATTTTTAATGACGCATTTTACAGCACAGAATGATGTAAACTTATTAGTCGCTAGGCCGTGAAGCAGAGGTATTAAGACAAGTTGAAACGTGACTCAAAACGGTACCTTTACCTATAATTTTCAAGGTCCATCTCAAGTAGTACACCTTTATTTACTTGAAGGACACTGGGCGTATCTGTTTTTTGTTTGTGTTTTTTTTCACCTCAAAAGCTTAGCTTTTTAACGCCATTATAATATGTTGTAATTGTATTAACTCAACAATCCTCACACTAAACGACATATTTTATTCTAACTGTACCTAAACTTTTGTATCTTACTGTATACCTTTTCAGGAGTTTTTTTTTTTCTTCACCCACATACTGAATTGCGCTCTCAGTTATGAACCTGAGCAGAGTAGACATAAAATTTAAAGATCTTTTTTAAAGATATTTTAAAGAATGAATGCCTACATATAAAAATATTTCAGACTGTTGATCAATCTTTCACTGTCAAAGTTCACTCTGATATCTTTCATTAACAAAACATTAGTTATATAGGAATAGAAACATGTTTTTTTTTCAGGGATGGATTTATATAAAGTCGACTATTGACTCGCCAGCAAACATTATTTGTAGTTATGGTAAACGTTCTAAATTTAATCAAAAATCATACATAATGACGTATGAGCATGTTTTTTCAAGTATCTTTAAGCATGGAGTATTTTTAAGACTTGTTAACTATAGATTATATAGGAATAAAAACATGTTTTTTTTCAGGGATGGATCTATATAAAGTCGACTATCGACTCGCCAGGAAACATTATTTGTAGTTATGGTAACCGTTCTAAATTGAATCAAAAATCATACATAATGACGTATGAGCATGTTTTTTAAGTATCTTTAAGCATAGAGTATTTTTAAGACTTGTTAACTATAGATTTTTGTCTTCCAAGATTAGCAAAAAGGCAAAAAAAGATGTGTTCATTCTCTTTCTAATACCCCAAGACATGGAATATTTCTTCTTTGATTTAAACTGCACGAGAGACGTTCTCCTCTAGTGGCACAGCAGTAAGTCTTGAAGGCTTGCGACGCTAAAATTGGGTTTTGATACTGATGGCGGGCACAGTACAGATAGCCCATTGTGTAGCTTTGTGTTTACTTACAAACAAATAAACAAACTAAAACTTCACGATATTTAATTCATACATAAAATCAGCTCATCTATGAACCCTGCTCATTGTGTTAAATCCTTCATTAGGAGCTCCTCCCCCAGTGGCACAGCGGTATGTCTTTGGACTTACAATGCTAGAAACTGGGTTTCGATACGTGTGGTGGGCAGAACACAGATAGCCCTTTGTGTAACTTTCTGCTTAACTACAAGCAAACAAAGCTGCATTATGGAAATTTTTATTGCCTTTCCTACGCATAATTATGGTTTGTTTTGAATTTCGCGCAAAACTACACGAGGGCTATCTGTGTTAGCTGTCTCTAATTTAGCAGGGGATTTTAATTGTTAACCGTTCGAAAACAAGGGTGATTTTAAGGAATAACCTTAATACTCAATTTAGTAAAGTAAACCATAATTAACAGAAACAAAAGTACGACTTACAGTTTTTCAAAATGCTCTTAATAGATATCCTCGAAAAAAATCCAGAATTGCAGAAAAGAGATTGCGTTATGTGACAAATTAACAAACTTTGTAACTATTACTCGTTAAAGTAGCTCCACCCATGTGCTGCCAGCTTATGTTTATCTCAGCTACTCATGGAAGTCATTAATTCGCCTGGAAAGTTTGTTTGTTTGCTATATAGAGCTGGTTGGCTTCCCACATCACATGACTCCATCCAATAATTTTGTGATTTCCCTGAATAGTCCTTCTTTGATATTTGTTGACATAATAACAAAATGTAGTCCGTTAGTCAAACAAAGCATTATTTGTAATCATATATTGTATATTTTAAGAGTAATAATATGGTTCATGCTTTGTATAAAACTGCTAAATCATTGCTTCCTTAGAAAATGTAAGGAGCCGTCGAATATATTAGTTGGTCTTACTCGAATAGCACGAAAAAAATTAACGTTATAAAAAGGTGTTGAAAAAAGATTATATTTTAAACGGCCAGTGACGAAAAAAATGGCTCTGGAGATGAGTTTAGTTTACTTCATAGATATATAGATATTGGTCGACACATCGTTATGGAACTCCCAACACGTTGCAGTGCTAATAGCTTTGTTTGTTTGTCCCTAATTTATGTCAGGAG